GATAATAAAATGTTAGCAAGCCATATATAAGGCAACTCTGTCTCCTGGAGAGTTCATGATTTAGTTGCAATAGTTGCAATTTAATTGCAATAGAAATATGGTTTGGAGACATTGGTGGTCATAATCGCAGCTGAAGTCGTCACTTTTCAACTCCTAACAAACTGGCACAGATTTAAACAAATGCCCAGCAGGCCACGACTCTGAACACTTTACATCGTTTCAGGTTCAGAAACACCAAAAAGAGCCTCAGAAGAACTATTGTGCAGTGCCTGTCAAACAGAGAAGACCTGCTCAGCTCCACCTTCAATGGGTTCATCTCTCAACAAATACCAGTCTTCCAAGTACGGACCTGAAATCTTCTGAGCTCCCGAAGGACCTCAGGGATTAAATACAAGTCAAAGACTTAATTTTCCAATGAATCATCTTTCCCAATCTACCTTAAAGCAATGTCATGAATAATCCTCACAAAAAAAAGCCATTCCTTTGGACAAAGGCTGTTTTTTTCTTGAGAGAAAGAGAGGATAAAGAGTTAACAGAATAGACGTTTCCAGATAATGTCAATAACCAATTCAAAAAGGATATTTATTTAAACTGAAAAACTTTCAATATTTAGGAAGCTATGATTAACGCCTTTCGTATCAACTGCAATCTACTTTTCAGGAGTGATACATACACACTGTGACTTGAGTCAAACTATATTTCCTTTCTGTGACACTGTTATTAGTGACAGAGTAGATGGGATGACTATGACTTTAAGTATAACGATTACAGGAAGTCTCTGAACAAGGCACATCAAAGCTTAAATCCAGTCTAAGCATTTGCTAAGCACCTGTTTGTCTAATTGGGTTTTAAATGGTGCCTTATATTAGGTTATTTTGTGTTTAATGTTACTGTGTTTGATTTACAGTTACATTAAATACAATCTGTTCAAAGAAAGCACACCATATATATCCAAAACCTTTTCAGTGACCCTAGTGCCTCTGCTTAGGGTCTTTTGTACTTTTCTTACCGACTATTAGAGGTTTTAAATAACAACATAGTCACTGACAAGCAACACAAGTGATATATATGGAAGAATTTTAAAGCACTAGACACTATTGTTAATGTCTACTGAATAAACCTCAATAGCCGATAGCCATGCTGTAAATTTGTTGTATTTTTATTAAAAATATATAGCTAATATTTCAAAAGTTTCCCTCATTGCAAGTTTTTCACAAGGACCAGCTCTGCAATGGAAGAGGAAAACTACATCAGGACAAGGGAGTCTGCTGTCTATATAGGAGTGAACAAGGATGTATGTGAATGTCAGTTCACAAACAATTCTATGTCAACTAGTAAACAATAAAGAACAGTACTGCATATCAGTATAATCAATACTGACCTAAAGGAAGAAATCAGTTGATTTTTATATATATATATAAAGATATACATGCAATATATATTACAGTGTATACATGCACACTTAAAGTGCAGTTTAAAGGATAACACAGCAGTACAATATGAATAACTAGCGTGAATTTGAAGGGCAAGATCGCAGCAGATGGAGATGGCTAGTACTTTCCCACAGGAAGGTAAAAATAAACGAATAGGAAGGTCCTGAGCAGATGACAGATACTTCCTCTCAGGAAGCCTTAAAAAGTATTTAGTAGTCAAGGCAACATTCTGCCCTTGCGAGTAATTTCTAGAAGCTGAATCAAGAGCAGGAATGGCAACATCCCATAAACAGATCAATTGCCTGTCATCTTGGTAAGGAATGGTTCATGTCACAGGGGAGAAACTAAAATATGTAAAAAGAGTGTAGGTAAGGGTCATTTTGGTTAAATTATAGTTATAGGATATGTCCCTAGTCTCTTATTTAATAAATTCGATCACTGACTTTCAAGCAGTGATTAATGATGGGGTTAAATACAATATTCAATGTTTCACCCCCACTCTGCTGAAGGTGCTAACTTTATTTTTGAAGCCACCATTTCAGAAATAATGGTAGTGCAGGCCGAAAGTTGTATTTCAATATAGTTGCTCAACTTTGCTACTGCTCTTTTGCTAGCAGCGCAATGAAATTGACATCAACCCTACACTTAATCAACAACTTCACACAGTTTGGCACATGCGTAAAAGTACCTGTGACGGTGTGACTACATAACGAGACAGAGACAATTTGAAATACGTACAGTACCAGGGAATTTATTCTCTTTTTATTACTTGTTATGCAACAAGGAATAAGTCAAACTTCTTCTACATTACATGTCCATATCAAATATTTCCAGATCAGGTTTAATGTAAAGCATAGCTCCAATATAAAGTTGCCTCACAATGTACCTCCACTTCATCCATAGAAGCAAACAAAAGTACGTTATGCCCCAATATCAGGATCAAGAACTCCTAGGTCAGAAATAGCATGGTCCATAATTAATAAATTATCGCTATTTCTATTACAGAGTACATCCATCACTAAAGCTAGTGGCAACAACAAAACTTTGCAGGTCAGATATGACAAAGGTGAAATTCTCTTATACTGCACTGAAAATATATCTAAACTGGATAATCTTAAGATAAACATTTCCTACTACAGAAATGTGACTATCACTTCTCAAAACCTTTCTGAGTAGGGATGAATTACAAAGTGATCATCAAATCTGATTATGGTTAATTGAGGTCTATTTGGTACACTGTACTTTGCTCAGTTTGGACATTGTTCTCTTGTAAATCTAATTTGAAGACAGTAAAATGAATGGCAGACACTGAAAACTTCACAAAATGCAGCCATAGGGGTCCAGGGGACCACAATTCGACCAAGTCCTATTTTGTAAGACCATTTTGTCTTAAAATTTATGATAAGAATTGTGAAACATTGTTAAAATTCTTAGCTGGTTTTCCACAATTATTAAAAACAGAAAAAAAGACAACTTATTAGTCAGATGTAGGCTCCTGATCAGTTTATTCATGGGGAACAGAAGTTGTATGGAAGGGAAGTGTAAATCAATTACCCAAAGGATAAGTGGTTGAAAAAAAGTTAATAATGAGTTAATATTTTTCATATATAGAAATATTCATCTCTATATTTCCCGATAATGACAAGCATGTAAATGGACCTCACTGCCAGAGCCTCATTCAACACAGCAAAGTGGAAGATAAGTTTTTACTTGACCTTAACAATTGGATTCCGTGTCCAAGCTTGATCCCATGGGATTGACTAGTTATCGCACCTCATTAATATTAATGACGGGGAAACCGTATCCCTTTTGCCTCGGGGAGCATCTTGCTAACTCACGGGAAAACAATTACAGATGTGTTAATAATTGATTTCAGCTGGCAGGTGGCTTTTGTGCCATCAAATTAAAAAACAACTAGTACACGTGTTGGCTAGAAAGGGTTTGATGTATCAGGTAACATCATGTGGTGCAGAACCAGGTAACTTGGACTCATTCCAGCTGCCAGTGCGGTGCATGTGTGAACATTAAGTTAAAGGTTTACTATAAACAGAGAATTCCCTGTCAACCTGGATTGATTCCAATTTCATGGATTAAGAAGATCCTTATCAGCTGATGGGATTTCATCGTATTTGGTTTTAGGATCATAGATGGTCCTGGGATTGGAACGACGGATGTGCCATTCAGGGTGAATAGCCTGTTTATGAGTTAACTCTTTCACAACTGCACAAGGGCTCCACAAGGGCTATCCCCAGACTCTGGTTAACAGCAGATCCACTTTCTTTGAACTTTGCTCTGGGCAAGAGCAATTTGGAACAGATAAAATAACTCAAGTTACATATTATCCTGTAGTATAACGGGGGCATAAGTTAGAAGCAGAAGCTCAAAAGTTGAATTTATATCCATTGAAGAAAAGATAATTGAGTGACAAGGTAATCCTCAACTTTAAAATACTGAAAGTCATAGATAATGTAGAGGAAATCAGCCTAATTATCTAATTCTGTGATTGCCAGGCTAGAGGCCATGGATAGCAAACTGTCAAGCCTCAAGTGAGACTAGAGATCAGAAGAATTTAATTTTCATCCTCAGAGTAGTTATATGGAATAAACTTCCATCAAAAATGTCAATAATACATCCATTAACTCACTTAAAAAGCTGGGTAAATATTTGGTGAAGAACAAGATTATAGGTTATACATGTAAGTGCAGCTACAGAAAAACAAATCCTCTATGAAACACTAAAGTTCCCATTCTGCTGGGACCATAGACATGTCATCTGTGAAATCTAACCAGTCAGGGTTGAATAATGTAGGTTGTAACGTTAGATTGATATCATAATTTTTCACTCAATTGCCTCTGGAGGTCAGGGAGGAATTTCATTGTCTGAATTATAGTTCAGGCACTCCACTGAACTAGCTCTGTAGTGGAGCAATACAAACATGTAGCCTGGAGTGATTCTGCCAACTGACTATTAAAAAAAGCACAACTCTTTGTGTGTATTATGCACTGCTAAACCAACATAGTTTCTGCTCATTTTTAATGTTAGTTGTAATAACACCAGAGGCTGTTCATTAATATTTAAAACTGAAGTTTAAAAGTTTATTTTGCACCTGCCTGCAATTACACTACATCTAGCACAAAACCTAGATCATGCAAGTTGTCTTTCATTGCATTTCCATATCGACACTGGGCTGTGACCAACGGCTTGTATTGTTTCAATGTGAATATTGTATAACAAGCCAATTGGAAAACAAAGCCCAGGTTGCCATCTACAGGTCTTAATATTAAAAAAATCCTTATTTTAATGGACAGGGGTAAGTAAAGTAACATCTGATATCCAGACCAATTCCACAACGGACTAAAATATTGCTTTCAGGCAAAAATGGTACTAATACTATTAATTTTGATACTGATTATATCAGAACTCATGTAGCTTCTATAAATCTACTTAATCCATATAAGAGAAAAAAAAATATTTCCTTAATACTAGTTTTTTTTAACCCTTTCTGGCATTATTTCTAGTTAAAAGCAATTTAGAGAGCCCCAGCTTTGTGAGGCTGAGACACCTTACCTCTTTAATGGCTGACATCTTAATGGTCTCATAGTAATGAAGAGGGGCATTCGGAGTGTTCATATCATAGCCAAAGCCAGCCACTGCTACTTCATCGCAGTTGTGTAGTGCCATTGTTATTGCCACTGTTCCAAGTGTTGGGATGTTCTGCAAACATAAGGTGATTAAAAATTAATATCAAGTCTAATGGCAACACCTCAGAAAACAAATGTTCGGGAGAGATTAATTCAATCACATTAACAATAATTATAGGATGTGCAGGATGTGCAACTTCTTGGATGGGAAAAAAGTAGGATGGAATTACTTATTGGGATATTATTCCTCCATTACCCCAGAGATATGAAATCCAACGTTGGATATACTATATGTACTCAGATAAAAACTTTGAATACCTTGAAGAAGTAGGACACAGTTTGTGCATTTGATTTTCTGACACTCTATTAAACTTGAGTTTTTTTGAAAGCAACTGAGCAACAATACATCTTATAGAGTATTTGCATTTGGGGAGCCACATGTGTGTGAATTAGATGAGTTGGATCATAAAAAAACAGAGCATCCAAAACTTTTTTTGAGGAAACAACTGAGTCCAACAAACATTGTCGGTTGTGTTGAGAGCAAAGGAGAAATAGGTCTGGAAGCACACAGCTCATCAGAGCCTGGCTACTGCTAGTGGATATTATGCTTGGCACAGAAAAAGAGTAATCAAGCTACAACTAACAGAACACCAAGGAATGAGGAGGCTGTCACAGAGCTTTACCAGCTACTCCAGGAAGATTTGCAGGTTCAGTTAACAATTTGTACATCCCTGCCCTCGATTTCTCTGCAATCAGCTCCTTCAGGCCCACAGGAGACATCGCTGGAGTCAGACGATCATTGTGTCACACTGGATCAAAGAGGTAACCCATGAGCTATATCTCAGTACATATAGTATACCCGAACTGGAACCAGCAGTTACAGAGGCAGCAGTACTTCTACAATCCAACAGGCTGCCCAAAGGTGCAGGAATAACAGATCACTTACACAGACATCTATATACCTGAAACTCAGATAACCAGCACAGATGTCCATCACCTTAAGCACAATATTCACACCTCCTCCACCAAAATCCCCAAAATAGGCAGAACTTACAAATAATAAAACCTTTTCTTTTTGCAACTCCTAACTGTAAAAGTAATAAATAACAGTTACACAGAGTTTGTTAGATGGAATCCTCTCCACAGCATCTGATCTGAGTTACACATTGAAAGTGGTGTCTACAACTTGCAATAAAATGTCCAGTTGTGCTTTAAGCTATATGGTAGGGATGATGCCATAATTAAACATTTATTTACTACCAGCACCACTATTTGAAATATTGCAGAGAATTCTCCCAGTGCTAATTGCGTTTATGGTATTTTGGAATTAGGCATTCTGATACTGGATTGCCCTATTACAAAACAACACTCACTCAGTGTCTAATGAATGGTCACCATTTCAGAATGTAACAGCAATAAAATAATTAATGTTCACACAGCTGGAGATGCTTCATTCTGTGTATCGCTGAAGGAGGATAGGGAAGAAGATGAGAGGTAGGGGGAGGGCAGGAAGGAATAATTGAAAGCTCCATATGTTAAAGTGAGAATCAAACTCACTCGTGGAAAATTAGAAATCTGTCACCTGATCTTAAATATATCTTCAACATACATCTATTCAGTTTTAAAGGAGTTCAACGTCAGACTGTCAGTGATAACTGAACAGTAGTACCTGCACTTACGATGAAACATTGTTTGATTTCTCATAATAACTTCATTCTATTGAAGGCTTATCAGTTGCTTCCACACAGTGACACATTAATCCACACTGATGTGTCTGACTGCACACTGATAGCACACACACTGAGCTGCTCTCATCCGATTCTCCAGGCCTGGAAGAATTTCCAGGGCAGTCAAGCCTCGAGATGCAATCAAAGCCAGAGTTACCATAGGAACAAGATTGGAAATGAGTGGCTTGGCAATGCTTCTTTAAACTGAAAAACTAAATCAGCTCCAGTCAATACACTATTGACAGCTAACCTTCAAATGTAACAAAAGAGACGCACGTAAGGTCTGTGACGGAATTAGAGATTTGACAGGTTTGGAATGTGTCAATGAACAGGATGCCCTGAAGCTTCAGTCTAGGAGTCATTCATCCTCTTGCAGTTTAGAGAGTAAGCAGGCACGCTAAGACACCTCACCTCATCTACTTCCTGCTCCAATGCTGATCCGAGGGCTACATGACCACGACTCAAGGTGAACAATCTCCCCTCAGGCAAAAGTCACAAATGTAATCATCTCTGTTAACTAGTCTGATGCATTGATAACCTGGGAAACAGCTGTAATTTCTTTGAGGTCACCAGGCTGCTATTTTGATATTATAAAAGAACTCTGCTTTCAGGATGCGTTTCCATAAAGATATGGCTTCATTATCTTTCTGTTTTTTTTCCAAAACAAATACGTTTTTCTGTTTCCTCTTACCCACACAATTACTTGCTGAAATGGATGGGCCGTTGATCTCGTATAGGCCTAAGAGAATGCCTTTTTTGCTTGGTTTAATCTTTCATCCTAAGGACAGCACTTTCAATATTACAGTCCACACCCCATCCCTCCCCCAATTCTGCACTAGAGTGTCAGCCTAGACCATGAGTTCAAGTCCTCAATGAAAAGGTGAGGGTACTTCCAACTGAGCCACAATCACTCCCAAATAATATTACATAGGGACATTTTACAACGTGCAACTCAAATCTCTATCACCAAAGTGTATCTGCAAGATCATGCGCAAGACCAATTGCAAGATAGATGTCAATGCATTGGGCCCAGAACTAAAATGAAAGCTACTTGAAAATGTATTGTTTCCCCAAAGAGGTCTAGTTAGTGATTTCTAGCTGAATAGCAGATGCAAGTATTATGATCATACTCCCAAAAATAACTGCTTCCTTTTAATGAAAGGAGTTCATAAAGACTGACCACTATATGTAAATTTCTGATCTCAGTAACCATTTTTATTCTGTCTAATTTAACAGAAGATCATAAGAGAAGTTTACTTGAAGAATGCCCTTTGGTCAATTTGATCTCATACTTCCAGAATAAATCTCATTGGAGCACAAGGTGTTTCTTTTAATGTGTCCTAATCTCAACTTCCTTTCCTGGTAACCTGTTTCACTTGTTCATTGAAATACTTTCTGGTATCTCTCCTGACTATGATGCTATGGAGAACACTGAAGCAGAGTTGCGAGAACCTAGGCAAGTTTTGTATTAAATGATCACAATCAGGAATTGGGACATTTAAGCAGTATTTGCGTGACTATTTTATTAACCTTTTCAATACACACATTCCCAAGTAGAGGGGAAACTGAAGAACTGAATTCTGCATCCAATATTATGTGGTGGAATTAAGGTGTTCTTTACAGCAAGGTAAAATTGGATTGGAAATTCTATAAGCAGTTTATAGAGTAAAGGTAGAATGTATACAGCAGCGCAGGGCACTGAGAAATTAACTGAAAACACAAATTAAAATTTGTATTCTTTTCTTCAAACTTTTATTAATTACTCTATTAAAATGTTATTGTGCAGATAAAAGCTCCGGAAAATGAAAATAGCTCCAAGGTCAATAAATAATCAGACCAACTTACCTTGAGGAATTCTACCTTCAGATCTCCTCAATGACATGGGTATTTTGACACTCAGTAAATCAGCAAGACCTGTATTCTCTGTTTGTCCAAATGCTCAGTAGTTGCATTGCTTCCATATGTTAAATTAAATTCAGGAGAAGTTAAGATTAACCCTTTGAACTTATGTGACATTTAGATTGCTTTTAAATTGTCCTTAACATTCCCTCACTCTGGTTACTCTTGGAATGATGCATGGCGTCTCACATTCCAAAAGACATTGTACTGTGTAAAGCTATGAAAATGAGGATTTGAAATTTTGTTTGTTAAATCTCTGCCTTTTGTTGGTTAAATCCTAGAATGGTATAGAATACAACAGCAAGAGAAAAAGTAACATACAGCATAGTACTTCTCCAGACAGAACTGCCCATTAGGGTTTTGGCTCACAGGTCTGAGAACATGTTTACTCCTCCAACTTTACTTAGGATTACCACTGTCTGACTCGTCTTTGCCAGACATGTCTTTTCTGAGACATTTAATCTTTTACGTTACTTCTTTTCAGTAGTTCCCTCATTTGTGTGGAAACTCAAATATAAGCTTGCGTCCTTCCACTCAATGATCCCGAACATTGTATAACAATGCGACGCAACAGTGAAGTATGAATTAAATCCACTGTTTAATTGCAAAATAATTTCTTAAGTTTGCATGTTAAGATAGAGAAAAATTAAAAATGACCCAAATATCAGGGTTTTTGCTCACCCCACGACCCATCATCCCATTGTTGACTGGCAGGCCAATAAACATGAAAGCTGCTTCACGGATGAAATAAGGATTCAGAATTCGGATATCTTTGGGCTCCTTCGGGACAGCTGTGGCCACAGACTTCCAAAAACCATCTGAAGGACTCTAGAAATAAAGGAGTAATAATGGTTATTTACTTATGCAAACGGATATCAAACTAGAAGTATAATTACACATCTCCAAATGCTCAGAAATTCCCCTTCTAGATTTTGCTCTTTGTATGTCATGGCAAGTGAAAACTTGCATTCAATAGTTCGTTTTAAGGGTAAGAAAAGAGCTATTTTTTCTCTTTGATTTCCTTGTGCCATAGAAAACTTAACTACCACTTGTGCCTTCCAGTCAGGCCCAATGAGTCAGGGAACTGCATTGGGAAATTATAGACAGGAAGGTGCCCGGTTTAAACATTGTACTTGCGCATTGTCCTAATCAAGGTCGTCCTCAAGTGTCCCAAGCTTGAATCATAGTCTTGATTGAAATATGCCTAATTGGGGTCCTGCATCTCAGTTTGGGGAAAGAAAGATATGAGATGAAACTAGGTTTAAAATAAATCGTCATGTCCAGTCCGTAGAAGTACGTGTTTCAATGGTTTCTTGTGATGCAGAATGGGCAGCAGCTATGGAGAAGTCCATCACTCAACTCACTCTGCTAAAGTGCAGCACTGGAGAGGATACATAAGTGGTGAGAAACTGAATTTGGAAACGAAAAAGGTGAATAATGGTGGGGCATTTACCTCTTATTTTATAAAGTAAATAGGGGAATGTTTTATATTTAAGGGCCATTAAGATAATTGGCAATTTGTTTTTAAAAATTAAATTGAGGTGAAAACTGAAAATAGAGACTGTATTTTTCTGATGATTTCCACTGAAAAACAGATATTTATTGAAAGACAATTATAATGGTCCTATTTATATTGAGCTGCCCTCCTTGTATTATTATTCTTCAAAGATCCTAGAAAAGTAGATCTTCAATCCATTAGTCTAGCTGGTTTCAAAACCTTGAGGGACTTTACCTTGCATCTAATATCTGTTTACAGAAGTAATCAAAGGTCAAATAAAACGACACATTTGCCTAAAATACATTGTCCAGATCCGCATTAAATAAAGCCCAATATTTTATCTGTCTAAGTTGGACTCAGCTCCATTTCTTAAAGGTGGAATTACTCAAATTGAACATTACATATTTGGAATTATTCTGATCAGTAAAAACAATTTTCTCTGGTTTTCCTAGATCAAAACTTCTGGTTGGGGTTTAATTCACTCTTTTAAAAAGAAGAAAATAATGTCCTCAAACACAACCAAAATAAATCCAATAACTCAAATCATTAAGTATTGAACTGAATGGAATGGTCCTTTAATAATGAAATTACTATCCATTTGAGATACAAATCTAAGAACCCATCTATTTTAGGAACAGTGGAAATGTTTCATACATCAATGGAAATTGCTGCCTTTAAACCATAAAGCAATAACTCCATTATTTTCTATGTAATCTCATAATTTTAATTTCAGTTCACCTACACAAAATAGCCTCAGAATCAAATCTCAATGTGAACCTTTCAGTCAGTTTTAGGTCAAACTTATACAATAAAGTAAGGATGAAGTCATTTACCATCCAGGGACCCATGGAGCAAATTGAAGTACAACATTATCGTCTGGATCTGTCACTAGGGGAATCATCCCTATTCACTAAGAGCATATTGTGGCAAAGACGTACAACAGTTGCATTGAATGTACAAAATAACAGAAATGGTACTTCTCAAAGCTCAATCGTCTTAGTCGTTAACCTTTCCTTTTCCCCATTCTCTTATGAAATGTTATAATATCATTTAGTGAAGACATTCTCCTTTCAGTACTGAAATGCACCTTCAGCTACTAAAACACATTTTTATACACATGGATAGAAATGATCATCTGCAATTTTCTATCAAAGATATCAAATAGTATTACAGAACATACAGAACCAGACAATGCCTGTACTTACAGCATTATGGAGATAGACTGAAGATTGTTATCTGGTTATAATTTGGGTTTTAGTGCTGCAATGCTGTTGCAACCCTTGAAGGATTACCTCCTTAATCTATCACTGTAGTTATTAAGATAAACTGCTTCTTTCAATCAGTAATATTGATTTTGCGGCAGATCTCTGATGTTGATTGCTTTTGAATGAAAATATAATAAATATCCTCATTTGGAAAAGCTCTGATACAAACAACAATACTGACAGTTTCCTCTCAGCGAACAACAAGGAGAACAGAAGCTGATTTTAACTTTTTAGAAGCAGACGCCAAATCATTCAATAGGGAAATACTGGACACAGTTACAATTTGTACATGCCAAGAACTCCACTTGCATTTCCCTTTTACATTTTTCCCCAAAAATTTCAACAAAAGACAACCTACTTTTTGAGTATTGCGATGTAACTCTTCAAATCTGACCGTGCAGAGTATCAGCTACTGGTATTCCCACTTCATTATACTGCCAAAGGTACAATAGAAAATCTTTATATGGATACCTTCATAATCAGATGACTGATTCCTAAGGGCAACTTGTTGTGCTGGACACTTTCCTTTTTGCCGTAGTTTTTTCCTCTATTTGCAACTGGTGGTTATCGAAAGTCGCAAACTCCTAATGTGTACCCTTTATTAATACAAGCAAATTTGAGTATAATCCATTGTGCGCCAGAATTTGGTTTTATTAGTGAGGGCCCACTGGATATCAGTGTCATGTATAGCACCGCACCATAACGTGGTTCCCTTGAAATAATAGTCCATTTCCACTGTATTAGGCTGCCTGCAGATTCTGTTGCAAAGGCTGCAAGGCTCTCTAAATGGGTGTCCCTTCTTTAGCTGCTAAAGGTTCCAATTAATCAACACATTAATGCTTTACTGCCCAATTTACTAAATAGGAGCACAATGCTCCTTTCAGAAGAGCTGCTGATAATCTTGGCTATCATTCAAATCAGTCATATGACTTGGATTTAAATCAGAGGACATACTGCACAATATTTATGCTATTTTTAATATAAGAAGTTAAAGCTTAGATAACTAATGTAGCTTGACATCTGACCTACAAACATGATTCAAACGCATGACTGCTTAGTTCCGGCTGTTTTAGTTCAATGACAACTTTCACATATTCACCCCTGATGTGAATTTCATCCATTGAATCTAGTCAAAACTAATTCTATTTGAGTTGGGGAAATATTATGAATGCAGGGAAACTACAGGAATTCCGACTCCTCTTGCTCCCCTCCCAAAACAAAATTTCAATGATTTTACTAGCAGTATCAATTTTGACACCAATTTACCCTATTTGGATCTTTTTCCTTGTGTGGAATTATTTGAACTTGGGCATCTTAGTGTGTCCCACCAATCAAAGTCAGCAACATAAAATATCCACCTCACTGGAGATTTCAGTGAACATTTACAAAAAAATCATGAGTGGATCACAAACGATTTTTTTTAAAAAGTAAGAGACAGCTTAACTCATAAAAAGTATTTTTCATTGAAAACACTTCCTCTTTAAACTACTTTAGGAAACTAGATATTAAAAAGGATCAGATTAAATTACCTCTACCTCTGTGTGTTCTTCCAAGTACAGAATGCCTCACTGAAAGAAAATGTTTTTAATTGCATGCACACACATATAGATGCCAAACAAGCATGAAAAAACTAAATATAGGTTAAACACATCCTGGAGGCAATTTGCTTCAACGCATGTGTGCAGGCTGATGATGACAAACATGGATGACCAGCATTTTCCCATTTAAGCCTTGCTGATAAAGCTGACTTTATCAAAATGATTATTATCCTTCAGTCAGACAGACACAAAGCTTTCCGAGTCCACTCTCAAAGTGCCAAAGCTTGTCACGGATGGTCAATTTCTGGAATTACCCATGAGATGTGCTCGACTTTGTGCCAACATCCTTTACCTAAATGGCCACATTTCAAAGACTGACAAACAATGGAATTGAAAACTACACAAGCATAATATTTACTCTTCAAGAGGTGCTGCCAGTTTAGCAATGCGGTTTGTCGGGTTTCACTTTATCAATGACTCGCTTGAAATCTGCACATAATCTTGTTATATATCAGCTAACTACTAATTTCTCTGTGTATAATATATCGTTTGTTGATAATTATTAGTCATACTGATCATCGTCTTTTAAGAAGCTCTTGGCCCACTTTATTGGAAGCTACCAACTGTAGCAACACACTGTGCTATAAAGTGGTAGGATGTGGGTTTCTTGCGTGTGATTCTCTATGGTTATGAGTTCATCATCTCAGCCAGGATGTCAAGGGAAAGTGCATAGCAGAGAAGAAGAGCTTTTTCAGAGGAAGTCATAGTGTTCTTGATAGGTAGCAAAAAACATGTCTCCTATTCACTCCAAGAAAATGGTAAGAATAAAATTTCCTTTAAAATCAGATGCTGGAATAGAGAGTTAACCTCCAACTCATGAAAAAAATTGCTGAATTTTACACTCCAGATTGGTCTTCCACACTAAGACCAATACAATGTCAATAATTGCTGAATTTGTAGTTGAACCTAAATTTGCAGTTGAAACTTTTTGTTTGCTATATCCATTCCATTGATTACATGAGCTTACTGTGCTTTCTGTTCATTAATAAATGGAGATACCTTGTATTTGTTTTACATACATGCCATCTAAAGTATAGTCAGCAGTGTAAATGAGATATTTTTCACTTAGTCCATCTCTGATATCTGTTAATTGAGCCTAGGTTACGGTAAAGGAGCTTACTATAAATGAAGTGTTGCTATCATAGGAAGAGCCTACTGTTTAAACACCAATTTAAAGATATAACTGCAAACGGCCACGCAAATAGCAAAGTGGCCTAATTTTGGAAAGCCGGTTTCTGAACTTCTATCAGCCTCAACATCCTAACGTAATATTGTACATGTAAGCTCCAACACAATTTGTAAAAAAAATTGCCCTTATCTGAAATCCTTTCTAAAAGCCTCTTGCCTATCAGTTCTGTGACACACTGTCAGCCAGTACCCTAGTAAAGAAGCAATTTAACTTGGTAATTGGCCAAAGATCCGTTATTGAAAATCATATTGGTTCCAAGCCAGGAAAGTTACAAACAG